GATGCTGGCTGTTGGTTTGTCATAAATGGCCTTTATTATATTGAGGTAAAGACCATTTATTCCAATTTTCTGTAAAGTTCTTATCATGAATAAGTGTTGGACCTTATCGAAGGCTTTTTCTGCATCTATAGAGATGATCATGTGATTCTTATTTTTGGCTTTATTGATATGGTGGATTACATTTATTGATTTGCGTATGTTGAACCATCCTTGCATTCCTGGGATGAATCCCACCTGGTCATGGTGTATAATCTTCTTGATGATTTGCTGGATCCTATTTGCCAATATTTTATTGAGGATTTTTGCATCTGTGTTCATTAGGGAGATCGGTCTATAGTTCTCTTTTATAGTTGGGTCTTTCTCAGGTTTTGGTACTAGAGTAATATTTGCTTCCAGGAATGACTTAGGAAGGATTGCTTCCCTTTCAATTTCATTGAATAGTTTGAGGAGTGTCGGCATTAGGTCTTCTTTATATTTCTTGTAGAATTCTGCAGTGAATCCATCTGGGCCTGGGCTCTTCTTGGTGGGCAAGGACCCAATTACATTCTCAATTTCATTAGCAGAGATTGGGTTATTCAACAGTTTTATATCCTCTTGATCTAGCTTTGGTACTTCATATGCTTCTAAGAATCTGTCTATTTCTTCTGTGTTATCAAACTTTTGAGAGTAGAGGTTTTCGAAATAGGTGTTGATGATCCTCTGTATTTCTATTGGGTCTGTAGTGATTTCTCCTTTTTCATTTCTTATTGCATGAATTTGAGCTTTTTCTTTCCATTTTTTAATAAGGTTGGCTAGGGGCTTATCGATTTTATTTATTCTTTCAAAGAACCAACTCTTTGATTCGTTGATTCTTTGGATTGTTTTCTTAGTCTCTATTGCATTGATTTCTGCTCTGATTTTTATAATTTCCTCTCTTCTTTTGGCTTTGGGCTTGACTTGCTCTTCTTTTTCTAGCTGTTTGAGGTGTAGCATCAAGTTATTTATTTGTATTCGTTCTGTTTTCCTGATGTGGGAACTCAGTGCAATAAATTTTCCTCTCAGAACGGCTTTCATTGCATCCCACAGATTCCGGTAAGTTGTATCTGCATTTTCATTTTCTTTTAGGTATTGTTTAATTTCTTCTTTAATTTCTTCTGTGACCCACTGATTACTCAAGAGTGTGTTATTTAGTTTCCATGTGTTTGCGGAATTTTTGCAGTATCCTTTGTCATTAATTTCTAATTTCAGAGCGCTATGATCCGATAATATGCAAGGGATGATTTCAACTCTTTTGCATTTGCTTAAATATGTTCTGTGAGCTAATATATGGTCTATTTTAGAAAATGATCCATGTACTGCTGAGAAGAATGTGTATTCTGATGTTGTTGGGTGGAACATTCTGTATATGTCTATCAAACCCATTTGTTCACAGGTGTGATTCAGTTCTGTTATTTCTTTGCTCATTTTCTGTCTGGTTGATCTGTCCCTTGGTGTCAGTGGTGTATTAAGGTCTCCTGTTACAATTGTGTTACTGATAATTTGAGTTTTCATTTCTGTTAATAATTGTTTTATATAACTGGGTGCTCTGGAGTTTGGTGCGTATATATTTAAGATAGTTATCTCTTCCTCTTGGAGTTTTCCCCTTACGAGTATGTAGTGACCTTCTTTGTCCTTTATGGTCATTGTTGGTTTAAAGTTCACGTTGTCTGCAAACAGAATGGCTACTCCTGCCTTTTTTTGGATTCCTGCTGCATGAAGAATTGTTTTCCATCCTTTGACTTTCAGTCTGTGAATATCTTTCTGGGTTAGATGGGTTTCCTGTAAACAGCATATGGTTGGATTTTGTTTCTTGATCCATTCTGCTAGTCTGTTTCTTTTGATTGGTGCATTGAGACCACTTACATTAATGGTTATTACTGTTAAATGCTGGTTAATTGTAGGAATGTTATCTCTCTGCTGTTGCATCTTTATCTTTCGGTTCTGTTTAATTATTTGCTTTGCTTAGTGGTTTTTTCCTTTGTGTATCTAAACTGTCTTTCAATATTTTTTGCAGGGTTGGTTTGGTGTTCATGAAGTTCTTCAGCTGTTCTTTGTCATGGAAGTATCGTATTGCACCATCTATTTTGAATGATAGTTTTGCAGGATATATCAGTCTTGGTTGGAAATCATTTTGCTTTAGGATCTGGAATACTTCACTCCATGCTCTTCTTGACTTTATCGTTTGTGCTGAGAAGTCTGCTGTGATTCTGATAGGTTTTCCTTTATAAGTGATTTGTCTTTTCTCTCTGACAGCTTTTAATAATCTATTCTTGTGTTGGATTTCTGGGATGGTGACTATTATATGTCTGGGTGTAGTTTTATTTTGGTTATGACTGTTTGGAGTTCTATATGCTTCACTGATCCTGATGTCAGTTTCTGATCTCATGCTTGGGAAATTTTCAGCTATTACTTCTCTAAATATCCTCCTGACATCCTTCATGTTGTCTCCCTCTCTTTCATTAATCCCTATCATTCTTATGTTATTCTTCTTTGCATCATCTTGCAGTTGTTGAATTGTTGTTTCCTGGTTCCTTGTTATTTTCAAAAGATCTTTCCTTTCCTGTTCACTAGCTGCAATCCTGTCTTCAAGGTCTGAAATTCTATCTTCACTTTCATTAAGGCGGTTTTTACAACTTTCAGTGGAGTTTTTTATTTCCTGTATATCTCTGTGCATCTGCATTATGTATTCTGTTTGTTTCTTATATTGCTCGTCTAGGGATTCTATCTTTTTGTTTAGTTCCTCCAATTTTTTATCTGTGTTTTCTTTAGATATATTTAGAATCTCTTTCATTTCTTTTATCATTTCTTCTTTTATCTGGGAGATTATTTCGAGTTTGAATTTCTTTAAAGCTTCCTGGAGTTGCTTGTCAATTTTAGTGGCTATTGTGTCCGATATATGAGGTGAATGGGATATATTTTCTTCTATATACATCACTCCTAGGGTTTCTTGAGATGGGCTGGAGGTTTGAGGTTGTAATTTGGTCTTTCGTTTTGTCATTTTCCTATATTTCTGTGTTTCAAGTGTTATTTGAAAGCTTCCTCAGGATCTGTTGAAAATCCCCTTCTATGTTTGGAGCTACTGGGACTCTGGCGCCGCGCTACTCCAAGCCATTAGGCCTACAGAACCAGTGGCCCTCCTCTGCCTGCTCAGAACTCCGCAGTTCCAGACAAGCTGGGCCTCAGGGACACTGTGCGCCCACCTGCCCCTTGGAAGCTCCACAGTTCTTCAATCGCAGCCGGGTTAGGGTACTCACCGCAGGCCGCAGTGCTTCAGGAACCTGTGGACCCTCCCTGGTTGCAGAGATATCCACAGTCCTCCAGACACGCAGAGAGGCCGGTGAGGGCACCCCAGATCTGCCCAGCTCCTCCTCTGCAGACCTATGGCCAGGCGCGGCAGCTAAACAGGCTGGGCTAGGCTGGTAGTGTGGGCCAGCCCACCTATCGGGAGCTCAGCAGGTCTCCAAATGAAGCCGGGAATGGGGAGGCTGATGTGGAAGCCTCAAACCCACCTCTCCCCTTCACTGCACCTGGAAGCCTGAGGGAACTCCAGCAGACTGGGCGCAGATATCCAGAGTCCTCCAGACACGCAGAGAGGCCAGTGAGGGCACCCCAGATCTGCCCAGCTCCTCCTCTGCAGACCTATGGCCAGGCGCGGCAGCTAAACAGGCTGGGCTAGGCTGGTAGTGTGGGCCAGCCCACCTATCGGGAGCTCAGCAGGTCTCCAAATGAAGCCGGGAATGGGGAGGCTGATGTGGAAGCCTCAAACCCACCTCTCTCCTTCACTGCACCTGGAAGCCTGAGGGAACTCCAGCAGTCTGGGCGCAGAAATCCAGAGTCCTCCAGACACGCAGAGAGGCCAGTGAGGGCACCCCAGATCTGCCCAGCTCCTCCTCTGCAGACCTATGGCCAGGCGCGGCAGCTAAACAGGCTGGGCTAGGCTGGTAGTGTGGGCCAGCCCACCTATTGGAAGCTCAGCAGGTCTCCAAATGAAGCCGGGAATGGGGAGGCTGATGTGGAAGCCTCAAACCCACCTCTCTCCTTCACTGCACCTGGAAGCCTGAGGGAACTCCAGCAGTCTGGGCGCAGAAATCCAGAGTCCTCCAGACACGCAGAGAGGCCAGTGAGGGCACCCCAGATCTGATAACCTAAATGCTTATCAACTGATTAATGGATTAAACGAGCTGGTACATGCGGTAATAAAATACCCCTGGAAATAGAAAGGAATGAAATACTAACACTGCTATACTATGGTTATACTTTGAAAATATTATGTAAGTGAAAGAAGTCATAAAAGAGCAAATATTGTATTATTTCATTTATATAAAATGTCCAGAATAAGTATATTGATACAAAAAGAAGATTAATGATTGCCTTGGTAGAAAGGAGTTATAACCAGGAATGACTGCTCATGTGAACCTCTTTTTGAGTTGATAGCAATCTAAAATAAATTTGTACTCAGTAACAATATCCACAAATGCTGAACCAGCAATAAAGGGCCTCACAAAGTACCTGGTAAATTTCTGATCTATTGAAGTTTGACTTAGTTGCAACAAACTTTTTAATATAAAAATACTTAGGGATATTGATGCTACAAACGGAAAACTGACATTGTTTGAGATTAATAATTTAAAACTTGAAAAATAGGAATGTCAAATGTCAGATGTGTAAGTGAACAATGGAATCAAATATGAACACAAAGTACAAAAATGTAAATTTAAATCAAAAGGTTTTTTATGGTCATGTAAAACAATAAAGTGTCCACATGAGCTTGTTTTTATGGAAAAAGATGTGACCTTTTAATAAATCATACTTGAAACAAAGATGAGAACTATATTCTTTTCTTTTTTCTTTGAGGCTGAGTAAAAAGAGTAAAAACAGGAAAGGGAGAAAAGAAAAGATAGCGAAAGTGAGTGAAAAACTGTTGGTCTCTTAGCATACTACATTTTACATTACACTATTACTTAAGACTTCATTTGACTCACCAAATCTACAGAATCTACTAATGGCTGGTTTGATTGAAATACAGAGTCCTCACTTTCTTCTTCATTCTTTTTGCAAGGCATTTGCTTGGAAGGGAGCAAATTATACCACAGAGTGAAAATCTCTTGGGAAAACGGTAAATCTGCCAGGCTGATCTGAGTTCCAGCCTATAGGAAATGAAACAAACAAAAGAGATGATGATGAAAGAAAATCAAATGTTTAAATTAGTATTTGTTCTCTCTAATATCATAAATATTATTAGGTGAGCTTACTTTTGGGGGGAAATGCAATACTCATGATATAAAGCACTGTTTTGTTTTGTTTTTTTTCTGTTTGTTTTTAGACCTGGAGATGGTTTTTACTTAGTTGTGACTCAATAATAAATAAATCTCAATCTAAAAACCAATCCTAGGATTCTTTTGTGAGATACAATTTTGCTCACACCCAAAGACCAAGGGAATCACATTCAAATGGAATAAATTACTAACCCTAAACCACAGTACTTTTTATGTTGTGCCATGAGCATGACTTATTACTCATAAAAAATTACTACCCACTGGAAAAATTTAAAAATAAATAAAAATTCCACTTTGGTTCTTGAATGACAAAGAAGAAACAAAAATTTTTCTTTGGATATATAAGTTTGGATATATGTCAAAATAAAGTTAAGGTTAAAGGCCTTTTATATTCCTCCATAATACACATAGCCAGAATTTAAATTCAACTGTACTATACTTTAAGAGGCTATCAATTAACTTATTTAGTAACTTTATTGATGGCTCTCATGTATATTAAATAAGATACCTATTACATTAAAGCCTGTCTGATAGTCTAACAAATCTACTTTTGCTTCTTTCTAAGTTTATTACTAGACCATATTACAAATATTTTTTCAAGTGAAGAAAAGAAAAAGATTAAGAAGAAACCTACCACACTTTTAAATTTTGTTCATCATGAAAGGGGTGTGCTTCCTGTTGGACTGCAGAAAAAAGCTTGGCTAGAAACTAACATTGTTTCTGACCACATGAGCCCACCTCCACATGCCTTCATTTGAACATCCATGTAGCTTTACTCGTAGGTGATGGCTTTACTGATTACCATGCACAAAACTATGTTATACTTACTATTAATTAAGTACAATGTTCTCTGCTGTGGCATGTAAACGTCATATTGCACTAAACAGTAACTTTAACCTATAAACTCTTAATACCATGCCCAAGGAAACTGAGATGAATAAAGGAATCATATCCTCAGTATACTGCTAAATTTTAACTTGTAACAGTGAATTGTGTGTGAGATGTCTTTTTGATATCTGACTCCATCACTCATGAGGTGTGTTACCATTTCTAAGCAGCTCTTTATCTGAAAATAGGGAATGATCACACCTTTCATAATTGATCTTTCGTAAAATTACTGTGAGGATTAAAACAGGTAATATATATACAGCACTCAGCCCTAGGTTCAGAATTGGGCCTAATAAGTATGCTCTCTAGTAATGATCATAGCAGAGATAAAGATTCTGTAATCAAAGGGTAGAAATACAAAGCCAACCTTTATTTAAAAATTATAAGTCATAAGCAGATTTTAAAGACCAGGAATATGAGAAACAACATATGTCATTATTTTGGGGAAAAAGAAATAAAATAACTGGTAGATGTGTCCCAAGGTGTTGGATAAATTCACAGTGATTTCAGGGCTGGCAAAACAGCAACCAGACAATATACTTCTCAGAATATCTGATCATACATGTTATCTGAAAATGGCATTTATATGAAGAATCCTACCAGGCATTCTTCCCTGTGGTGTTTACTGACAGAGCAAAGATCAACTCTCAGTGTCTTTTGCTGCAAGGCTGTTTGGGAAATGGCCATTCTGAACACATCATTGAGCAACACAAATTCTGTGGGTGGATGGACTTTTGTTCGAAATAAACAGCTAACATCAGTTGAGGAAGGAAGAACAGCAACCCTAAAATACCTGTAAAGAATAAGAGTAAAATGAATCTCATAGGTACTTCAAAATTACAGTGGATTCATAGCTATCATTTGCAATTATCTGCAGAAAGAGAGAAAATGAGGGAACAAGAAGTTTATTATTAACTGAAAGCACTACTGCCATAATGGGTTGGCACTCAGCTGCAAAGATGCCTGCTCTTAACCCACCCATGCCGACTGTGCCCCTGAGCATGCAACAGCCCAGCCTGCCACTCACCACGGGACTGCAGCAAAGGCATATGATAGGAAAGTGAAGAGGAAGAAAGTCCGTGGGGCAGACGAATTTAATGTCCCACCTGCCCCATGTACAGCAAATTCCAAAATTAGTTATTTCTGAGCCTGGGAAGGCAGGGACACACTAAGTAGATACTGATGACTTTATCCCAAAGAATCCTCATCCTGAATATTAAACAAAAGATGCTGATGATCACTTCCCAGGAATGGAATACATTATCCTACTAGAGAAAAAGAAAGGCTAAGTAGCATATTGTTAACAAAATTTAAAACAGATGAAACAGTAGTTCAAAATATGATCTAGCATCTCTGAAGTCACAAATACAACAAACTCTTAAGAGTTTCATGCTTTGTAAAATTCAAAGGAAGAGTTACAGAAAATAATAACTCTGAATGCTACTTTAGAGTGAATTTTCTGAGCACACATAATGTGAGAACTTGCAATTCTTGGAAACAGCATGCAGTATTTTCCTTCTAATCTCAGAAAGAGAATATCCACTAAATCTTCTGCCTGTCTCCATTTTCCAAGCTTGTCTAATTCATATTCTAAAACATGCCTTTCTCTAATTAGAAAACCTATAAATTCAAATGCAAACCTAAGGAATGTCACATTATTTTTTATTTTATATCAACATTAATTATGGAGGTTTAGCATTAAATATCTGGGGAGCACTGGGCCACTGATATTGATTTAAGACCTCACTAAATAAGGCATAGCTCTCCCTCCCTGGGAGGCTGGAAGCTCTAACGAAGACTTCATGGAAAAGCAGTAAGCAACAAGTATATTAGACAGTTAAATGGAAGAAGAAATTTTCTGTTCCTCCAGCCTTCAAGTTTATTGTTATCAGTGGCCTAACCACTGAAATCATCTCAAAATATTTCCACATCAAACAAGAGCAATTTTACATGATTCAGACACAAAGGCAATGGAAAGCAGGTAGGAATGCTTCCCCTCCTATGCTGCTGCAGGGGAGGGCTCTCCAAAGAGGAACCAGACAAGCCATGAGCCATATTCTAAATACCACCGCTCTTGTCAACAGGCAAGTTTCAACTGTATTTGTCAGAAGTGTAACCAAAAACAAAGTCTTAAACTTGAGGGGGAAGAACATTAATAGTTTATACGAGCTGTCACTTTTAGCAGTGCCATTATTTAGGTCAAGGCCTTAAATATGGCTTTAAGAAAATGCTGCTATACATCTCAACAAAGTTTAGGTCAATTAGACAAGTAACTACAAACAGCTGGGGAACAGAACTATGTTGTATACTTATCATTTGGCTGAATACTACTATTGTTCCTGAACGACCTTGTAAGTCATCACACCTTGTGACTTCCTGAGGTTAGTGAGGATAACCATGATTGGTCTAGCTGAAGTACAAAATTTGGGCAGATGCACCCTCAGAATATGGGTTTAAAGAAAGTACATGTTCTTGGGCATTTTATAATTTTTTCTTGGACTTGTGAGTTGGGTCTTATTGCTTAAGAGTTGACCTCTGGCCGACTTATATTTTCCCTAATGTGCCTTATTAAAAGTCCATCAATGGGGCTGGGGATTTAGCTCAGCAGCATAAGCACCTGCCTTGCAAGCAGGCGGTCGTGAGTTCGATCCCTGGTACCAGTAAAAATGAAAAAGACAAAAAAAAAAAAAAAAAGTCCATCAACGCTCTAATACCACAACATATATACTGTAAGGGAGAAGTCACAAATAATATTATCAAGCCAGTCTTCTCTGAATACCACTGCTAGTATTTTTAATTTTAGGCCTGGGCAGCAGGTTCTTTGGGGTGACCAGACCAGTGCCACATTATGTCTTCTCTCTTTGCTAGTACCACTAATGACATGTGCTCCCTATGACTTGATATCAGGAAGTCTGCTAAGCCTATTCCCCTCCTAAATCCTATTCTTATCCAGTTTTGATGACTGTCAATAGATAGATAACGAAGTCAGGCGTGGTGGCTCATGCCTGTAATCCCCAGCACTTGGGAGGCTGAAGAAGGAGGATCATTGCGAGTTTGATGAGACCAGCCTGGACTACAAATCAAGCTCAAGGCCTGCTTGAACTGCATAGAGAGATCCTGTCTCAAGAAAAAAAAAAAGGTAACAGCTCTTTCAGTTCTGTTGCCTGATAAATAATCTTCATCTAGATATTTTTTCCTCAGGTCCAGTTTCTTTTCTGTGTGAACTAACCTAAAAATAAACTTTATGGCAAATTCCTAGAATTACTGCATTTACTGTATAAAAAGTCCTATTCATTGAGGAATTTACAATTAAGGAAAACATTGGCTCAATGCATACAGAATATTGGGAATCATGTCTCACTAGCTTTTTAAAATTTCTAAGCTCTGGTCTTGCCATGCTCAAAGTAGTACTAAGATCTACTTCTTCTACAAACCTTAAATGCAGAGTGGACAAATGCTGTTTTCTAAGTCAAAAGTGCTAAATTGAAATCTGCTCCTGTGTGGTAATTTCTAACCATGAGTTCTTAAGAGACTCACAGGGCCTCTGATTTTAGGAAGTGTGAATGGTGGTAAAGATCTCTAGAAATACGTGAGGAACAGTTCTGCAGCAATGGACTATACCATTCTGCCATCACTTCTCTAGGCTTCTTGGTTTGACAAAGTGAAATGATTTTAAGAAATAACTGGCTACAAGGAAATGAATGGTGGATGATGAAAACATACTCTTTCATAAAACATGGAAAAATTCTTGAAGGGCAACACTTTATGGATAAAATTTAACCACTTTATTTTCATGTAAAAGATAATTTCTCAAAGCATAGAAGTAACTACCATGCAATAATAAAAATTTTTATCTTATTTCAAGCCATCAGCCCCTGATACAACTTCACACAGGATTTCTGGCCAAAAAGGAAATAAAGAGTGTTGATTCTTATTTTTAATGAGGAATCAGTTAAACAAAAACCAAATTCCCATTCACCTTGCATAGTTTCCTTTTCTCTTCATCTTTATCTACTGTTGATTTAAATATGATCAGCCTTGCTGTCTTTCCCATACCTTAATTTGATGAACTGTTTGATCATAATGGAAATTATCTTCTGTCGAAGTTTCAAAGCACCTCAATTTGTTCTTCACTGATTTTACTTACACTTTTGAAGTATGAGGTATCAAGAAGGCATGCAGATTTCGGAGTTGTACTATAATCACCATGAAACTTGAACTTTTTGCATCATATCTGTCAAAAGAGAAGCTGAATGAAATAAGCAGTAACCACAAGCCACTGGTGACTGTACAGGTCTCTGAGACTGCTCCTCCTCCATGTACATTGTTTTACCTGAGTCCTATTTGCACCTGGGCAGTCTCCACTTCGGCTGCATCCTCTTCGCTATATGGAGCATCTTCCATTTCATTAGGCCTAGGAATGGGGCATAGGTAAACACTCAATTAATGGGGATAAAGGTTGCTATGGCTGCTGTTTGCCACTAAAACCTGAACAAACATCTAAATTAATATTATTTGTTTTTCTTTGTACTGTTTTAAAATTAATCTTATTGGCACTTCTTTATATAAAGACCGCATTCCTCATAGGAATGAGGAATTCCTACACATATCTTGATTCTACTTCTTTCCCCCATTGCCTTGAAGCTCTCTTTATTTATGAGGTTTGTTCCCATTTTTTCCTTCTTTTCCCTTTCTCTACCCTCTCCCTTATTCTCCTTCCTATTTGAATATCTTCTTCTTCCTTCCCAATATCTGTATTCCATTTTGGTTCTTATTTATTCTTTCAGTTTCTCACACAAGACAAATAATGTGATATTTAAACGTGTGTGTTTGACTTAATTCACTTAAAAGTATGATCTCAAGGTGCATCCATCTACCTAAAAAATGTCACACATTTATCCTTCTTCATAATACAGCAGTCCTTCTCTGTACATATAAACCACATTTTCTTTATCCATTCATCCTTTGATGGGGATCTGGGCTCTTCCCAAGATTTAGCTATTACAAACTGTGCTGCCATAAACATGGGTGCACTTCTATCAATAGCACTCTTTCACCATTCTGAGAAAATGATCCCAGCAGAAGTTTACTGTTTCAGAGGCTTCCTCCACCTCTTCAAGAAGAGTCTGCCTCTGAACTTGGGGAACAGACTTTCTGATGCCTGACCTTCTTGAGTCCTGCTAGGCTACATCCACACAGGAATCTTTGTGTGCTGAATAGGAATTAGCAAGTCACTCCAACTTTTCCACTAAAGTCAAGTCTTTAAAGTATTAACAAAGAGTCAGATGATCAGAGAACTCCCATCTGTTCAGCATTTCTGTGACTGATGAGCTATTTCTGGTATGTTGGAATTCACAATCACACCATTTCTGTAATGGCTAAGGTCCTTACTACTCCAGAGGGTGGACTAATAGTTATAGCATATTTGTAATATATAACACACAGGTCCGACTATTAAAGTTATAATGAGAAAGGAGATTTGGAGCAGCAAAAAAGCACCCTTGTTGGGTCCTTACTGTTTCATGGAGGCTTCATAGACCCCACTGTCTCCAGCTACAGACTCATCAGACACAGCAGCAGACACACATGCAGTTTTCTCTCCAGGCAAATGGATTACTCTTCTTTTAGGTAATGACTTTTCCACATCTAAGGAGGGGGAGTCACAGCACTGATTAGGAAAAGTTAATTATAAAATGCACATTTTGGTTATGCGAAATCCAAAGCATAGTTTCCCTATGAGAGTCAGGAAGTTACTACCCAAATCAACAGATGCAGATGTGTCAAAGTGCTATGACTATGAGAGTTCTGGGACAGCAATTATTTCAACAGTTACTTGAAAAAAAAATTATTTATTTTTATCCTGAAATATTTTAAGGGAAAGAACGCACCAATTCTTAATGATCCCCATCCTTTCCTTCAAGCATCCACAAATTATATACACAGGTGTGCGTGTGTGTAAGAAACTGTGCTTTTCTCAAATACTAGAGATGTTTCTATTTGGAGAGCTCCCAGCTATTCAAGGGAAAAAAGGTTTCTACCTCTTTGCTCTCTGCTTCTTTCCATATGCACATTCTCTGGCTCCTGTGCGACTATTCTAACAGAAATTAAAGAAAAAAACATCTTTGACTTACAGGAATTCGTCACTGGCTAATACCGTTAAAACAACTTTTTGTGCTACTGAATCTTTAGTACCAACTACCACTTAACTTTTATCTCTAACTCATATTCATACACCAGCATCCTGCAGTGAGCAAGGAGCATTCATTTAAAGCTGTGTTCAGTACTGTAATATGCTGCAAGCCTGCCGAGTTCTTTCATCCTGGAGCCAGTGAGCCAGCAGATCAGTATTGGTATGCATTTCGGACCCCTTCTGAGTCATGACTTTACATCTTGTTAAGATGTTTAAATTTTAAGGCTTCAGATTACAGAATGGATTGCTGCATTCTCTCTTTTATTTCTGGCAGTGGGAATGCTTTTTCCTTGATGATGAAGTGCCTTCTCTCCACCCACCCCTCTTTGTGAGGGGTGAAGGTGATGACATGATTTATTGATTACCCTCAGGAATAACCACAGCAGCCTGAAATTGACTTTGACAATGACAGAGACTGACTGTGGAAAGACTTCATAGTTATTCCAACTTCATTTCTGTCATCCAGCAGGGATTGGTGTTGGAGAGCAAAATTTATATAAAAGGGACTCAACTTCAGCTGTGACTTTGGAGCACTGAGAGATGAACACTGCCCCTCATAAAAAGCTATTCTCCTTCAAGAGAAGGGCAGACATACCCAGAACAGACTAAGCCTTGGAGACCTCAAAGATTAGTCTCCATGGCTAAATATAGTCTTTGAATTGTTTTCAGATATGAAACTAATAACTATCTGCAAACAAAGCTTTTGGATGTTTTTCCCTTTGGGTGACATTTTTTGCTGCAGAGGATCAAACACAGGGCCTTGCACATGCCAAGTAAGCACTCTACCACTAGGTCTATCCCTAGCCTCTGAGGTGACATTTAAAAAATAGTTTTCTAACACTTAAAAAGCTAAAACTATTTCACAGGAGCTTTGGAGACAGCCACATCCAGCCATGGCCCAAATTCATCAGCAGACATACTACTAGATTCCCATCAGGGTAAGGCATTGCCAGGGCAAGTAGGATCTGCAGGATAGGCACATGGGCCTCAAGATCATTACATGGGTGACAGCTTTTGGGCAGTTTTTTCACAATCGCTCCCCTGTCCAGTATCCAGCCTCATACACTGGGGCCTATCACAATGATGGAATGCAATAAGTATCCACCAGAACACAAAATATACAAAGGGCAAAGTCAGCTTGGCTGCTAAAGATGTGCAAGATCCAGGGCTGGGGATTTAGCTCAGCGGCATAAGGGCCTCCCTTGAAAGCAGGCAGTCATGAGTTCGATCCCCGGTACTGATAAAAAAGAAAAAGACAAAAAGACAGAAAAAAAAAAAAAAAAAAAGATGTGCAAGATCCTACATGTCCAAAGCAAGAAAAATGGCATAAAAAGCACTCTGCTTTTCCCTCTTCCCTGGTTCTTCCTTTCCTAACTTGTGATGGTTTGTGGTATTGCATTTAGCAGTGTTTGTATTACTTATCATCATCACGCGGTAACAACAATTGCCATGAAATGAGTGCAAATGCCAGGCATGCTTATGTACTTTCAATTCCCCACAGCATTAACCCTCTCACACGCTCCAAGGATGACTGTATCATCCTGACTCTGCAGATGAGGAACAAGCCTAAAAGTAAAAGGCTTTAAAAAAAATAGTCTAGATGGCAACCCAAGTGGGAGTATCGATGCAGCTAGCCCCAGAACCTACAACAATCCTTCAGCAAGGCTGTGATCCCATGATGGCTATCTGCTATTGTGGAGCCATTATGAATGCATCACACTTGTGCTTATTTGCTTTGTGGTCAATTATTTCAATAATGTCACTGGTAGCTTTGGCACTCCTTAAGAGAGGGCACACATTCCACGTGGATGTCTAAGTCCCACCTCTACCCTAAGCCACTAAAAGAACATAGCATTTCTGTCTTCAGTATTTGCAACCACAGAAACAAGTTGGATTGCCTATGTTCCTACACATCTGAAGTGGCCAATCAATAGGACCATGCATACAAATAAAAGTGCTTTTAGAAACATCAAGAAAACAGTGCTATAGAGGCCTTTCCATTCCTGTGTGTCGAAACACACTAACACACATGTGTAGATGTGAAGAGGACTCCTTGGAGGAGCAACAGAGCTTTCCTTTCACATTCATCTCAAGCTAGCATGCAAACAGATCATCCTCTTGATCTGCAACAGAACCATTTGTCAATGAGGGAAGCATCTTATGATCTTTACAAATATATCTAATATTTTAAAAATTTCTGTCACAAAGGGAAAAGTAACTGTAAAAATATGAAATTCTCCTTGTTTCTATCTTTCTGAGCACATGTACATAAATAAAGATTCAATCTCAATCTCTTCCTTGGGCTGCAACTCTTAAGGCAACCAGAAGATGGCAGGGTACTACCACACACTGGAATCTGCTTTCTCCACATCGACTTCAGGCAGAGAGGGAATGTCTGGCATGCAATAAAAATTGTATTTATATAGAATTCTCTGAGCCATATAAACAGTGAACTTCAGTATTAATTAGCTGGTATGCTAATTGGTTTTATTTTAGGTCAATTATATAAGAAAGCCTTGCTATTTCAGAACCAGAATCTATTTTGAAATAGGAAGGTGTTCACAACATATATTCTTAGCCAGCTACCACACTAAGAGGGTCTCTGGACCACAGAACAAGTAACTACATCTACTAAACAAGGAAAGCATTTTATTTGACAATAAAACTGTCTGGGTATATGAATAAACAAATATTCCTTAAGGAAGCCAAAAATAAATACTCAGGAAAAAGACAAGGGGGACTACGCTATTTGTAATAAAGAAAAAGTAACAATTTTCCTCAAAATAATTCAGAGGAAATATATGAAAAGAAAGGTCTACTTTTACCTGGAGTTCCTTCAAATAATGGGTCCCTAGCACAGTCATTATGGTCTTTATCCTGTAAAAGAGACTGAGATATCTCTCCTGAATCTGAATCCAGCAATATCTGATTTTCACCAAGGCTGGTATCTGCAAAATGGCTGCTTAATTCGCAGTCTTCAAAGTCAGAAGTGAACTGATGGAGAGAGGCCTCATGAGAAGACATGGAAAATGTGGCTTCCAAGACCAAAGGGGAGCTAGGAGGGGACAAAGAAGAAAGGGAAGATCTCGAGGACAGGGATGTCACCGACTTGGGGGCCTCAATCAAGGTGGATGTGTGGCTGGTTGCTGCAACTGGTGCTCCACAGAGTCCACTCTGAACTGGCTGACTGGGAGATTTGACCACTTCATTCTCATGGATGGTGGTGATAGGTCCTGCGGGAACATAACCGCCCTTCTCCTGCAGAAGGAAGTCCAGTTTATACTGATAGTCCACATCTATGTGTTCGCCCTGACTGCTGTAGTAGAGCTCACTGGAACTGAGGGAGTTGAGTGAGCCTCTGCTGGAGGTGTTCAGAGAGCCCCGACTGGACGCCAGGGAACCCAGGCTGCTCCCCGACGACATGGACAGCGTGCTGGTGGAGAGGCTAAAAGAAGACAAGCACATTGTAAAATCTGTCCCTGCACAGAAAACCCAATCACAACTCCTACTGTCTCCTTCAGATCCCAAAAGGAAAGGAAACCACTGATGCCAAAGAAAGAAATCTGTGACCAGAGCAGAGGAACTCGCTATTATAACATGTATCTCACTACTTATTCACTAATATTTTCAACTTTGCCCTCAAATACTCTTTAAGTAGCAATTCTATTCTTATTACACTCTCCCTTTTTAAAAACACTTAGTAATGGGAGAAATATGTTATTTTGCAAATTTTTATTGACAGCTAAAACATTTTCCCACAACATATTTCAAACGTATTTCATTAAATATGACCTTGGAGTTCATGAAAAAAAATCTATGTGAGTTAAGTTTGGTCACTTACTAATTGTATTTATATAACTATAATTATTTACTTTTAAATACCTGATAATAAAGTGTTAACTAGCCAACCTGGTAAACTAGAACACGGATGAATGACAGAAAAATATCCTTCCCCCATAGCCTTACCTTTTAAGTTGTGAATGCAAATAAGTTGCTAATTTAGTAGTTTCTTCAAGTTTCTGTAGCAGCTCTTTTCTTCTCTCTTCTAATTTCAATCTAGAAAAAATTATAGGAATTATTTTAATTTCAAATGGTTATGATGAAATGAGAACTAAAAAAAATGTCTTATTATATAAATTTTATATGTCAAAAGGAGAAAATCCAAATGATCTAGACACAGAGAAAACAAGACAAGCAGCAGTGGACACGAGCAGAGCAGAGCCGCTCACAGCTATGCTCAGGGATGGGAGAGATTTACACCCAAACTCCAGCTTTATTGAAAACTCCAAAATGTTGGCAGTGTAAAAGTCTCCCAAGTGGGTAAAAAAACATATCCCCACGAGTGAGAAATGAATATTAAGGAGGAAAACAATAATGACAACAAAACAACTCAACGAAGACCTATAGAGGTCTCAATGAAATACCTATAGAGGTCTATAATGTGGCTTCACATTACTAAAATATCTGACAGCAATAATAAAGAATTATAAAAGGTCATCATAAGAAATAAATTTAAGAAGGATTATTCCAAAATAATATTTTATGATGGAAATTCTAATCCTAATTTGAGGAGAATTTTAATGACTAAAAAGGAAGTTGTCTATCTTCCTATTGTAGACTAACTGGGGCTTGTTTAAGCAAAAAGGCCTCAACGTAATGTGATTTCCTAGTTCAGAACATCTTATCATCTGTACTAGATTATTATAAAATTTTATCTAAATTCTATTGCAAAAGATTTATATTTTTAAAAAATTAGAAAATTAAGGAATTGTATTTTGAAAAATAACTCATTTAAAAATATACCAAGCACATAGAGGCTCTTGTAACTAAAAGCCTGCACAAGGATGATGTGTATCATCTGAGGGTCTTTAGATATCACTGAAATCAGTTGGAACAGTGCAGTCAAGTGAGCTATGGAATGCAATGCGCAATAAGCACATCTTCGGTTCCTGGTCTTGGCTTTGCTGCTTACTAGCTGCACGCTGTTTGGCAAGTTACCATAACAAAAGTCTCACCTTTCTCATCTGTAAAATGGTGATTATGATCCACCTGTATTTGCCTGATAAGGCAATCAAAGGGATCAAATGAAGGAATGTATGTGAAAGCCCCCTACAGATGATAAAAACAAATCATACTTGTTCAAAATCTTAGCATGCCCTGCAAGGCACTGATATAAAAATTAACTAAATTCTTTTTAGAAAAATAAAATTTCCCTGGTTCCCAACCTCTTTGAAATGTTACTCATGTCTTAGATAGTTAGGAAATATACTCATATTTTATTTGTAGGTATCTATTCCTTTGATGCGTCAACAACACAATTTTATTGTATGGTTAAAATAAAAAAGTAATCTTGTCATTTTCTTCAGTGCTTCAAGGTGTGATAGATTCTTTACTCACAGCTTTCATAGGTGCATTTAAAAAAATAGGGCAGTCTATTTTTTTAAATCTCTCAAATTCAAACAAAAAACTCAAAAGATAAACACAAAGATGAACTGAGTTAGAAGGGACATAAAGGTCTAAAGCAAACTCAACATACTAAAATTCATGTCATCAGAAGCAAGAGAAACACTTTTAAAGTAAGATTTAAAATTAAATATTTCTGTTATTAAATGAAAGCCTTTTCTTTCTGTGTAAGGAGGCACCAATGTGGCACAGAATTTAATCCTGAAATGTTTGTTTCATATGAAGTTTTAAATATGAAGCTTTTCCGTCCCCTGACATCAAGGATGGTCCCTCCTCTACTCACATGCAGGCCGTGCTTAGGGCTGCTCTTCCTGCTCTTTCAGGCTGACTCTGAAATATTATACTTGACTTTTGTGTTCCCAATACAATCTGAAGTCCTAGAAGGCAGACACCAGCTATCTGACACCAGCTGTCTCTTCCAGCCAGGACTCTTGCTGGTTTCACCGCAGGAATCACACTGAAAGCAGTTGAGGAAATGCAGAAATCTCTAATGGGGCAGCTGTCTCTCCAGTGGCAACTGCAGGTCTTCTTTGGCTTCCTCTGCCTTAACGGACACCAGCCCTTTCAAGAGGCACAGTCTACCTCTCTTCTCTAACCTGTTTCCATGTCTCCATGGTGAGAAAGGGTCTTCCCACCCTGGACCCTAGCAGATTCCTCCCCTGGTCTTGCTGCTTTACACTCCTGTCAGCTGCCCTTTGTGAAATGCAGGCTCTTCATAACCTACCTCTGGCCTCAGTTCCCCAAGGCAGAGAGACATGTCTGGCCTTTCCTACGTTCTGAACTCTGCATCTAGGGAAAATTTCATGTTCACAGAAGAAAGCAGTCCCTTTCCATTAAAAAATAAATGACAGCTAGATGTTGTGCACACTTGTAATCCTGGTACTCTAGGAAGGCTGCAGGTTCAAGTCCTGCTTAAGCAACCTAGCAAGATCCCGTCTCAAAACACAGAAAAGAGTAGAGGTGGAACTCAGTGTGAAAGTCCTGGGTTCAATCACCAGCACCCAAAATCAGGCACTTTATACCCCTACCTATTTGCTTTACAATTTTTTTCAGAAGCAGATGCAGAAATATTCAAATATTTAAGAAACAAGATATCAGTTATTACAAGGAAAACTCCAAATTTGTAAGAAAATAAAGAGAGATAAGATCTTATCACCTTTGGAACAGCAGTTTGAGTAACTATATGAAGAGAATATGAACAATGCATAGAAAGACTTTCACTTGAGAGCATTTTTCACTTGAGAGTATTTCTCTTGACCTGATGATCCTTATAATGAGCATCCCTTGCTTTTCCCAGTATGTGCGACTGTCACTAGATGGTGAGCTCAGTTACTGTTGTCCTTGAGTTGGGGACACTGCCATACAGTGCAAAATGGGAATTGAGCATGGAGACTGTAAGATCACATAGTAACTGAAAATTCACTGGAGTTTTTAGTATTTTCAAAGACTGCAACTCAGGAGTGAGTCAGAATCTTGCCGGAGGTACCCCCTAAATAACTAGGAACCCACAAAAACAGGAGATTTTGGGGTAATGCAGTAAGTAGCTTTCTTTGATAGTTGTTAGGTATAAAGAAGAAATTGAGAGATACGGTGTTAGTTCAGCAAAATTTTTCTATGGTGAATGTAAGTTTTACACAGGGAATTTTATTTCCCCAGAGTATCTCCAGCTACCACCTGCTATAACACCAATGGAATATGCTTCTTGCAAAGGTATTCACTTATCTTCTAAGGCTTCAGTGTTTAACAGCAACAAAAACCAAAGAGCAAAACCACTAGACAAAGAAATCAGACAAGAGGTGAAGAAAGCAAAGAGAAATAGAGCCAATGATAATTACTTAAGACAAAGAATACAGTTCACGGAGACTTCCTGATACTTTCTGGTGTACTCCAAAGTGGTGATGCTGTAGCCGTAAAGCATTTTGGTCAATAATTTAACTTATAAAAGTTAATTCTCCTCAAATGGCTAAACTCAGAGTGGGCATATCCATATGCTACCTAACTAGAATACCAGAGATTATGACTTTTCTTCTTTTCACATTTTTAAAAGTGTTCTGTTACTATGTATACACATACTAAACATTTACTGAGAACTAGGGATTAGAAAATGAGAAGGGAATAATAATAATAATAAAGGAAACTGGATATGCATGTTTTAAACTTATTCTAAGATCATGCAAGGTGATCCCAGTGTGAATTTCATTCCTACTATTGCTCTTTACTCCCTGACCTAAAGGATGGATGTACAGCAGTTCGGAAGGGTTACGGGATCTCTCTGCAAGAGGCATTTCACCATCCAGCCACTAGGCTGGACAAAGGCCTCTGATGCAGATGTGCCCGACTCACACTGACATGCACAGGTCCCGTTGTTTAACACTGTAACTGATTTACACACACAGATCCCTTTGCTTAACCCTACAACAGAACTGGATTTTTCAGGTTAAAACAGTCAATTCACACCTTTCCACAGGAAGATCAGAAAATTGTTTTGATTATTTTACTTTCCATTTTCATCTGCTTCTGAGGAGGGTTTGACAAACAAAATCCAAGGAAAAAGATAGGTGTGAAGGTACACATCTATAATCCAAGCACTCAAGAGGCTGAGGCAGGAGTATCGCTATGAGTTTGAGGCCAGCCTGGGTTACATAGTAGGTTCAAGGCCAGCCTGAACTACATAATAAGACTCTGCCTCAAAAAAAAACAGAACAGAATCAAGTTAAACCAAGCCAAATCAAACCAAACCAAACCAAATACAACCCAAGGAATATCAGTGACCTATTAAGATATCAAGGGAGCAAGTTGTCTTTTCCCTATGAAATTAGAAGCAATAAACTTTTACATTCTTGTAATAAATCCAAAATAGGAAGCTTTAGTGCCTGGAACAGTCAACATAATCTTTCTTATCAGAGTGCAATAGTTTATAGCTATTGTTTCAGACTCAGTCAGTGATGTACTGCATTCCTGGTTTTATGTCAACGTTCTTCAGTCATTTGACATCTGTCACAGGCCTTCTCATATGACTAACAAATACAGAGGAGCTAATGCAGTGGGAAGCTAGCAAAGTGTGCTTTATTGCTTTATAGAAAGAAGGTCTTTTTGTTTTGTTTCACAAACCACTAAAAACAGATGTAGGTGAGATTTCCAAACCCGCAGAAAATGTCATCTACTAAGCTATAACCACAAGTTTAAACTCCCCATTCTCAGGAGAAGATCATACCTCTGGGTCAGAGCCTGGCTAGGTGTACCTCGCACAGACAACAGCTCTTCCTCTAGCCTCTGTCTTTCAGCTTCCAGGCGTTCCAATTCATCTTGTGTGCGTTTTTGTGGAGTGATGAACTGCAGCTCTTTCAAAAACTCTTCTTTTTCATTAATCAGCATCAGCTTCTCCTTCTCAATATCCAGTGCTCCAGGCCAGGCCTCACTGTCCAGCTTTGACAGTTCTATTTTTAAATTGGCCATACTGTAATATGTAGAAGAGGCATATACATACTTAGGACTCCTAAGTTACACATAAGCCAGCTAAGTCTGGGGTGGAACTGCTATCTAGATTTCCCAACTGGAGCTTATCAGAGAATAGGCAGCACCTCTCCCAAAAATTGTGAAAGCCTTGTACATAGGAGCCTCAAAAGCAGAATGCTCTAGGGATCATGAGTAGGCAGCCCTGATGTGTCACTACCTATGGCAGATGACAGGAGGAATAAGAACCCTGGTACCTGCCCTTTACAAATAATTGAAGTAAATGTTCAAAATGTTATGTTTGTTACAAATTTTGTTACTCTACGTGAAGACACTGTTCTCTAGGAAAATGGTAATTCCCAGAGTAATTCAGATAGAAACTAGAGTACTGGCAGGCCAAGGAAGGGAAAACAGGAGGAAAAGAGAGCAGTGCCTTTGTCAACTTTTATTAAAATAAAGCCAATCTGTCAAGGCTTCACATGACCCAAGAAAAGGAAGCAGGACTTGGCCTCCTCCCACCCAGACTCTCCTTAAGCCTCATACTGTGAAGTCTCCTTCCCATCAAGACCTTGGCTCTTGGGGAACAGGAGGAAGAGACTGTAAGAGTAAATTTACTAGTTTCATAATTTTGCCTCACCTCAGATTTCACTATGTATATAGCTCCATAATAGATGATTATGTTAATATAATTCTCAATTCAACATGAATGTCTTGAATCACCTGAGTTAATTAACTAGTTCTGTGGCACTATCAAGACATAAGGACTCTACACAAAGTAAGTGGCACACTGCTCTTGTGAGCATAAATCACAAGATCCAAGTAGACCATGAACACAACTAATATTGACACAACGAATCTATGCCTCTTTTTTCACAATACACGATGATTGCTTTAGGTATTGTTATATCACATACCAGAATATGGAAAATAAGTAGAAAAACAGGATTTAATGGATTCAAATATTTTGATAGAAGAAACTGTAAAAAGGAAGAAAAGAGGTACACAGATACACACACACACATCAAAATCAAGAATAAAGATGGAAGTAAATCTACATCCTTGTGCTGTAAGTTTTTGTTTTAGTTTAAAATAAAATTTCCATCTTAAAATGGCATTGCACATGTAGTGCCATTTTTACTTACCATATGCAATTATGATAGATGTAACATCAGCTATTCTTCAGTTTTAACCACAAAACCATAAACAACTGTCTTAACGTACTGGAAAATTAATCATCAAAGTGCTAAATAAGCATGATATTATTAGCTTCATTAAGCACATGAAACAAAGGCTGTAGGAGAAAAAAGGTTTCACAAAAACAGTCTACTCTTATTCAGAATCGAGGGAAATGTATTTTCAACATATGCATACACACTTGAGAGTTATCTTCTCATAAGCATCACTACCAACTTTAAAATAAAACCCAAAATAGTACAGCAATGCAACTGAAAGAGAAAAAAACAGTGTTTTAAGCTTTTTTTTTTTTTTTTTTTTGTCTTTTTCGTTTTTATCGGCACCAGGGATCGAACTCACGACTGCCTGCTTGCAAGGCAGGCGCTTATGCCGCTGAGCTTTGATCTGACTGAGTTAACCAACTGAGCAAAACTGTAATGCAAACAAGAAAGATCTCAAAAAGGTGCACCAAATCTGGGGGGGAAGTATAAAGAGATAGCCAGGAACATCTAAGAAAAGTGCTAAGTAAGCTCCAGATGGAATTAACTATTATCAGCTACAATAAAGCAAACAGTCAAGATGACCCAATGGAAGAAGAGTCAAGCCAATTAAGAATTCGGGCATAAGGCTCAGTCTTGCGATGTTAATTCTGAGTTACGGTCATTCTCTTGCAGAAAACCAGATATAAATTCTGGACTTTGTCCACAGTATAACCAAGGAGTCTGGTTGCTATAGAATATATAATGGTAAATATATTTATTTTACTTTGTTAGTGCCAAATAAACTCTACAAACATCTAATTACTTTTAAATTTTCATCATAATCAGTAATACAGTGGTACCTTGGTTCACAAATATTTTCTTTTGTGAACAATTTGATTTGCAAACAAAAGCATTTAGCAAAATTTTATTTTTGTCTGTGACCTCTACATAGAGTGATAAACACAACGAAGGCCATTTTTCCTGCACAAACATGAATGTGGTCAACTTTCTCAGAATTGTGAAACAAATTAAGTTTGTGAACCGAGGTACCATTATAATGGATATAGTACTTCAATATGTGATGGCTTTACTTATGGCAGGAAATCATATAACTAGTTGGTTTTCATGCTCATGGAGAGGAATATGATAAGTTTTCTTGATCTCCTGTGGGGTGACAATGTAATTTTTTTCCACCCAGTGTCTCCTAAATAATAAACAAATGGCATTTTAAAGCTCTTGCAAGGGAAGTACAGTATTCAAATCAACTATATCAGTATGACTTACTCCAAAGAAGAAATATGTGCTATATTATAAAAACAATCTGACTCTGTCTACTAGATAAGGATGGTGAAGTCTCTTGTGCCTCACCCCAACAGAATCATGGAAGTAAGAAAAAGAAAGCACAGCGATTCCTAGGAGTTTATACAGTAAAAGACAGAGGTGAAAACAGTATTTTTTTTCTCCTTAAAATAAGTCAGCTGGAGCAGATTCTATAGCACTTTCAAGACTTTCCTTTCAAGAAGATGAACATGCTCATAGGTATTTACTTCAGAATTCCTCAACAGCTATCAAGTCTTATGCCTGAGCCATTTCTCCACCTGAAGACTGCATCTTCTTCCTTTTAATTGGGAGTACTGCACAGGCTCAAAGTTTCTTGTATCAGCAGACAAGGAGACAATTATATTCACACACTTCTCATTAATTCTCCTTATTCTTTATCAGCTTGGATAAGAGGGGAAAAGGAAAGAGAGAGAAAAAAGAGAGAGGAAGTAATCCTTATATGCTAAAACACCAAGGGTAATTTGGGGAGAAAGTATGGGGAGTGCCCAGCAGATGTCACCATAAGAGTAAAGATTAATTCTGGAAAAGAAAATAATGTTTGAATCCAACAACAATGAGGTTCTTACCTTCTCTTGGCTTCTTCATATTGTAGGCTTAGCCTGACCTTTTCAGCTAAATTTGATCTACTTCTCACTCCGATCTAGTAAAAAGAAAAGGAAAAAAGTCAATTAACTCTGTTAATGAAGTAAACTGCTTTTGTTTCTAGGAAATCCAAGTAATTAAAAAGCTCAAGAAAATGGTACTGAAACGGAAAAGTACCAGTGTTAAAAAGATACTTCATTGTCTCAGTGAGGGCAAAACATTTCTTTCAATTCAAGCTTGTCTGTTTTGCAAAGACTTTAACATTATTTTCTCCACACATTAAATTCAAGACAAAAATACTAGGTAATGTGTCTGGTATCTAAAAGTTTATGAGGGGTATATAGGTCAATAAAATTTATGAACTGGAACTGATTTCTTTGCCTTTATGAGCCAAAATTTCCATCATTTAGTTTTCAACTATACAAAATATAAACTAAATAACCTCAAAAATTAATTTTTAAACAGGTAGATCCTACTGTTGATCTCGCTATTTTTCATTCACAGTACTTATGTCAAAGAAGAATAAGAGAACACAACAGTAACTTAGAACTTACTGAAAGGTAAATACGTACTAATGGCATTCCAAAGGGGAAAAAGCAAAATAGTTAATAATACCCAAACCATGTTAAATATTTGCAAATGTTAGCTATAAATCACAAATTAAACACTTTAATATAATCAACTTCAAGTTTTCTTATTAGGTTTGAAAGGCGTATTTCTGTTTCTCATTAGCCTTAATGTTCATTCAATATGACCTAAATTTCTAAGGCTCTAAACTTAATAGGAATAAGTTAAATTTTCATGTATCTCTCGCCTTTCAATAGTATCTCTCAAAAAATGCAGCCTGAGAAAAAATCTTTTTTCTCTCTCAAAGCTATTCATATGAGTAAATCTTAATATGTCTGGCATCTTGACAAAAAGATCAGGCCATTATTTTAAAAATATTACAGGAATAAAATACTGACTGCATACAGCCAGAGTGGAAACCATGTGTCTAGCTCCTGTGCCAATTCACCATCTATACTGTCATTAAGGCTCATGAAGGACAGCACCAGGCCAATCAATGACATAGATAACTTACATCTCCAGAAATGCTCGTTTGTGACCCAGCATCAAGGGTCTGTCTGGAAAGAGACAAATGAGAATTCACAGGACTGGATCTCAGATCTGGCTCAGATCTGCCAATGTTCTGATCCAAATGAAACCGCTCCTGCAGCTTAGCAAGACTCTATCCAAGAAACAAAAATATCTCAGAAAGCTTAACATCTAAGAGGACATTTCCCACCAGATACAATTAAATGGAAAAAGCTAATCGCACAGAATAAAACAATTATTTTATTTTAAATCCTTTACCACTTTATATTATTTTAAAAATAATAGTAGAATATAATTTTGTACATACACAGATGTGACTTTGGGAATATCTGAGATCATATTAAACAGATGGCTTGTGAATTCACAAGTTTCCTGTGAATAATAGTACCTATATATACATGCATTTCCTATTTCTAAAATTTTCATTATTTCAGTAAGACCCTGCTGTGCTTTGGATATGGTATTAATCTGTTCCCCAGAGTTACTTTATTGTAAGCTTAGTCCTCAGTGTGACAGTGTTCAAAGGTAGTAGAACCTTTAAAGGGCAAGGTCAGTGCAATGTGTTTAGGTCAGTGGGAGGTAACACCCTTGGAAGAGACTAGTGTAGTTCTTGAGGAATCCTAGTTAGTTCTGAGATAGTGATTTCTTACTTTAAAAGAGCATAAATGGTGCCTGAGTATTTCTGGCTTCCTATCTTGACATGTGATATCTTCTAAATGCAATCCCATCATTGTGATGCCATTCATATTAGGGCCTTTACCAGAAGCTGAAACAATGGGGCTGCACCGTTCTTCAAGCTTCCAAAACTGTGAGCTAAATAAGCTTCTGTTTGCATAAAGTATTCAGCCTCAGACTTATACAGAGTCGTTCACTTGACATAACATAATTGTGGAAACATGGAATACTTATGCAATCTCTCATTTTAGATATACAAAGACAACTTACTTGTAAGACTTCTATATATTTTCCATTTTACACCTGAATAGGACTTAAGAAATTACTCAGTTTGCATGAATGTTAGAGATTAAGAAACTGAGGCCTATAGATAGCTAGAGTAGCCCACGTGTCAGTTAAGACTATCTATGTGTCACTAGATGGCACTGCCTATGGTGGTGATGGTCGGTTTGTGAAAATGAATGTGCCTCTTACTGGAACTCAAGTTAAATATGATGGGTTAGTTTACAGAATATGCACAAGTAAAAGTATTAAAAAGGTAAATCTTACTTGCTTTTTGAAAAAGAAAAAGTAAACCCTACAGTTACACTAATAAAATTAGTAAGAAACCATTATTATCAACTTTTTTAAAAGTCTTGCTATGTAGTCCAGGCTGACCTCGAATTCTTGCTGATCCTCTTGCCTCAGCCTCCTGCATGATGGGATTACAGGCATGTGCTACCACGCCAGGCTCTCTACTCAACTTTAAGAGCCTGTATCTAATTCTGATATTTAAACTTTTGACAACAAGAAAATGTTCAACTGTTTCTAGTTTTATGGGGTAAAACTTACATTGGCATATCAAATAACAGATTTCAGAAAAGAACAAAGAAACTTTTCAGCGATTTTGGACAATTTTTTCTATGTTTCTATCTGTAAATTGCAAAGATCAGTGTTTTTCTGTCTTATCTATAATGATAAGGTACTCAATCAATTCAGCAGATCATAATTAGTATGTTTTTTAATGAAACAGAAGATACCAGAAAATAAAATCAGAGTACATCACTAGTAAGGCACAGTTCTGTGAAATTTAAATTTAAATTGTGTGTATCTACAAGGACACATAATTGTTTGATATTGGTTTTTGAGGTAAAGTATATTCTTACTGTGCTCAAAGAAGTTTGAAAGTCACAGAAGATATCTAATGTCCCTTCTAGCTCTATTGTTGATCTGTCTACTAATTAGTCTATAAACTTTTGTAATTGAAAGGAACTTAATCTTTTGATTTAATCTCATCTGTGTATGAATCCAAAATTTACAAAGAATCAAAGATGATTTAACATTGGTGAATTATAAGGCTCCAATGTACATTTGTTCAAGCTCTGCTAACTTACTTTTTAAAAGGAATTGTTGTGTGCATTTTTGTAATTCTACCTTAATTAGTAGGATAACTGCAGGACAAAACCAAAATATATACAAGTAGATTCTTGTGTGATATGTTAAATGTGTATATATGTGTGTTAAAACTACATAGGGCCAGGAAAACAGCTCAGTGGCCAGTATCTCCCTGGCAAGAGTAAGGTTGTCAGTTCCATTCCCTGTACCAAACAAACAAACAAAAAAACCCCGACATTTTCTATAGCAAGACCGGCTCCATTTGAATCCCAGTCCTACTACTTACCAGCTATTTGACTTTAAATAACTTATTTAATTTTTCTGCGCCACAATTTGTCTATGAGCTGAAGATAACACTTTTAGAAGTAGTTGTGAGGATTAAGTAAACTACTTGTATGTCAGGCAGTTAAAAGAGCATCTAGCACAGTCAGTACTTACAAACATTTGCTATTATCACTACTATCTTTTGTTTTAAATCTCTTCTTGCAAGCTATTTCAAAATTCTCCAAATTAGGGCTGGGGATTTAGCTCAACAGCATAAATGTCTGCCTAGCAAGTACAAAGTCATCAGTTCAATCCCAGGTACCAAAAAAAAAAAAAAAAGAAAAATTCCCCAAATTAAAAATAATAAGGATCCAACAATATTTACTTGTATTTAAGCAACATTTTGGAAACCAACATATAGTAGTTGAATATAGCATTTAAGTTCAGAAGTGCCATTAAAAATGCAAATATCACCATTGGCTCTAACATTTCCCCAAAGACACATACTAAATTGTTACTTGTCTAAGTAAAGAAATCCTGAATTCTCATAATTTGTAATAATTATTAGATGGCAGAAAGAGACATTCTTTAAAAATCTTGAGTATATTTGTTAAATATATGTATTCAGAATAATGATCCCTGAATGGCTGCTATGTTTTTCCTACTCATGATGCTGGGTCATTGGGAGTTAAGAGCCAAGGTTGAGAACCACATAGTATAACAAAGGCATCTTCTATTAGTAGTAGCTTTCCTGGGTAACTGTGCTGTGTCAACATTCCCCAACCTATCCTTAGTTGGCAGCTCATATTCTCCTGGATAGAAAGATACTGTTATAAGCTTCTTGCATAGCCCCATCCTAAAGGCTACCATCTACCCACTGAAGAGACAACAATAATAATAGAAAATGCTTACAATTATGTAAGGATCATTAGTTTAGAGAACCAGGCTTGTCTCAGACTATGGGTTCCTGGTTCTACCACCCACAACTTCAAAGAACATCCACAGTCTACCTTCAATGAAGCATTATCAGAAGCTGGGACCATCCCGCTCTTCTCAGCAGCTGGGCTGTCTCAGGGCCCGACAACCTATCTCCCACAGGGTCCAATGCAGCACAAATGGAGCCGAGGTGATAACGGCTGATCTAGATTCTACTACTTGTGCGTAAGAGAGTTTGTGGAGCCTCAGAAGGCAGAAGATTAATGTGTTCTATAACATACCTGCATCAGATCTTGTTTTTCTTTTTCTCCTGAGCTAATTGCCTTCCTGATAGATTTCAGTTCAGTTAGAATGGCTTTGGCTTCACTAAGTTCATACCCGCTCTGGCCTCCGGACATTTTTTTATCAATTCTGTGAAAAGAAAAATATCAAAGCATGACATAGTACAAACTACATGAGCAGTAGGAATCGGTTTTGGATTGTCTTAGCTGGCTGACTGTTTTACTTCACGACTCTCATACAACAGCACCATCTTTTTCGTCCCCTCTTTTCTTTTTTAATCATGTCCAGTTAAGATTTCTCCTGTTCCCTACCTCATATCTCATCTATTTCCAATCACTTTCAGGCTCAAACAAGTACCTGCCTTTGGATGATTTCACTGTTGGCTGAATTGAACTCATCACAAACTGATCCTGATCTCCACTCTGACACAGGTAAGGGGAACAAGCAAATGTTACAGTAGCACAGAAATACCAATAAATGGCCACCTAATTTACACACCATGATATCTGTGTGACACCTAGCACAGAGCTGGTGGCCAGGTAGGATTTTAATAAATGATTACTATGTAATTATTTATACTAGTGAATATCCTAAAATACTGAGTTTTATGGCTTCTTAATTTTTTCTCAATATATAAAATCATTTATCTATTTTTATTAAAGTTATGAGATGAGATAAAATTGCCTTGGCTGAGTAAGTTGAAATTTAGGAATAGAACAGAAGGGCAGATGTGTTCATTTGTCAATTCATATTGAGTAACCAGCTCTTCCAGTAAGCTAATTTATTATCCCTGAAGATCTGCTTATTAAATGTTCTTACAGTTTACATCACTACCCTGGGCTAGAAGATTTTGTGTAACCTAATTCTTTGTGTTTGAAAGGCTCAGACAAATTACTTAATTCTTTTTTTTTTTTTTTAAGTAGTTGAACATTCATGTCACCCCTAGTTCCCCAATCACAATGTTGTCCAGGACTCATTATGAATGTAACTTGAGTTTTACTTTGGGACTAAATCTCTGCCCCCTCAGTCATTAACTCTATAAATATTCTCAGATGTTATCTAGGTCTTATCCACAGACTCTGCAGAGAGATGGCATCTACTAAATGATGCCAGAGAAAATGAACTCTGAGCTCATTTGGTTTAAAACATTTAATAATTAATACATATTTTTAATGTGAAAGGTACAATCTGGAAAAAACAAAACAATGCTATCTTAATCACTCTACCAAAGTTAATTCTAACAAGTGCAGTTTACAGATAACGTATTTCCCTAAGTACTACTTCAACAAACACTTTATGCAATTGAGTAAGCAATTAAAGCCTTTAAAAACCTCATAAAATAAACTTGATAATAAGGTTATTTGATGATAAAATACAATTAATGAATCCACAGAATTACAGAGAGAGAGACAGAGACAGAGAAAGACAGTGACAGAGAGACAGAAAGAGATAAGAGTTTAGGATGGGACAGGGCCCTGGAGATTGCCAGGCTATACTTTCAAAATAAGGAAACTGAGGCCAGAAACATTACACAAATTTAGGCCCTAAAGTACATAAACACTTAGCTAGCAGGACACTTCTCCTAAAATGAAAAACTTTAGCTTTGAGTTCTTATCACTATTGTTATAATATGTGATAAGAACAGTGAAATACTTTGAATACTAGCAAGAGAGGTATCACTGAAGTTTTTGAATCCTCGAAAGATTATAACCACCAATTTAGTCGAGGCAAAGGCTTATTAATAAAAGTGTCATTTCCAAAAACTGCATTTTGGCATCTTTGAGCACAGTATTTTTAAAATTAAAATAAGAAAAAAACAAAAACTATGAAATTTTATTAAAAAGCTAGCAATAAAGGTATCAGAAACTGTCACAGTGAATGTCCAAACCCAAGTTACTTGTGAAAATCCATGTAACGATGATGAAATACAACTTTAACTCAGAAAGAACTTTATCATTTGAAAATAAAAGTAAGTTGTGGTGAAAAACAAAGTAATATTTAAAAATAAAAGCACAACTAGTTCAGACTGCTAATTTAAATTTCCAAGTGTTTTGGAAATTGAATGGCATTTTCTCAGCTATCTCCAGGTCTACAGCACAGAGAACAGAAAGCTATTGCACTCAGCATCCTCCACAAGTCCTTTCGCCCACCTATTCCTTTCTTCTGCCTCCCTGGAACTTCTCTCCTTTATGTCATATCTGCTTTCTCTGTCTTTTTCCCCACGAATCTCCTTTTTCTCCTCCACTTCTTATTTCCAACCTTTTCTTTCTTTTCACATAACTGACTATAAACTAAAAATATGGGCATTATTTACTGGTTTGCTGGCTTTTTTCTTTGTGTATGTGTGTGGTGGTAGATACTGAACTTAGAGCCGCCTTGCATGTGCTAGGCAAGTGCTCTACTACTGAGCTACACCCTAAGTTTTTGATGGCTTTTAAAATAAAGTATTGTGCTTTTTGTCTTAAGAAAAACTTAAGAAGTATCTATTTTTTTCTTAATTTTTTTTAAGTTTTGGCTTGTGTGTGTCCTAAGATTAATTTTTACTCTCTTCTGAAAGATTTCAATTTGCACTTCTTCTTTGGAAAATGGGTAGGTACCTCCAGCACCAAATTTTCATAGAATCTGTTCATGCTTTTGCCTTGCCGAGTGTTTCATCACTTTGCATTTTCCAATTTGAGAGCACACTGGAGGTGGCAAAATAGAAATATGCATCTTCCTGGTATCCATCTATACATAAGCTATGCTACTGTTTAGGCCAAAGTCAAATTTGAGATGAGAAACTGAAATAAGTAACACAGGGGATAAAATGATGTTTGTTCACCCTGCATAAAACTGTCAAGTGAAATGAAAGTCCGAGCTTAAACTACATTATTATTCCAGATTCAACAAAAATATTACATTCTATTATAAATCTTTGGAAAGTTAGAAAAGCTTGCTATGAGACTCTATTTAAATCTATTCCTTAAATGTACTTTCTGTCACAGTAACAAATAAAAGTACCTTTCTAGTACCAAGGAAAGTAGTTCCTTAAAAAGTCTTGTCTCTGGGTTCAAATCAGTTAGCTTTTTATTAGTATGGTTGTTAACATTTGAATGAAAACAGCTTTATTTTGTCTACAGTTAAGATCAACAGAAGAAGTCTATAATGTGAGATATCCTTCTACTCTTGGTTCAAGGGAATGCCTGAATTTCGACAACAAATGTCTATTGTTTTCTTGTGGAATGTTATTGACAGATTCTTAAACATGCCTTAGATTCCTGTAAAAATTGCTTGCAAGCAAACTGCTTTGTAACAATACAGCATTGTCACATCAATATAAGAAAAACAGCAAGTTTGGCTAACCTTTAATCCCAGGCAGTGATGTGAGTTAAACTTTCATGTGCTGTAAAAATATTTAACGTAGGGCTAAACATTTTGTGGCACTCTTCAAAGTCTGTTTTCTCTCCCCAGCATGACCACAATATCCTGCTTTATGCTGATACATAATTACTAAACAACTCATTTACTTCTCGGTCTGCTGGGTCTTTAGTGGAACTAGGTTCTTAGAACATGGCAATACTGGAAACCAGCTGGGACCTCATAAAACATGCCTGGGGTGGCGACCAGAGGCAGGTACTTCTTAACAGCTTCCAAAATTACTCTAACAGGTAGTTAGGTTTGAGAAACACTAGCATGGGACCATATGAACGAAAATCAGCATTACGATTATGGGCAGTAAGTAGCAAAAAAAGTCTTAAAATCAAGTATCTGACACTGAAGTCATGTGCCTCACTGGTGGTCGAGAATAGTAACTGGCATCCTAAGACAGAACTCACCATGGGAACATACAGAACAATCAGCATCTGTTTGTCTGCCCAGTGATGCACAGGATCTTTAAGAGAGTAATGCTTTGCTGCGTTGAACTGTTTCAAACTTCTTAAGCACAGAAAACAGAAAAGCATTACACACAGAAAAGGAACAAAGCTGGGTACCTTCCAAAAGTGGCTCCTGAGAGCAGTGTGACACTCCCCTGGTGCTGTTTTGAGGAGCTATGAGAAGGAAACCTGGCTGAAACTGATCAAGGAAATAGATACATCACACCACCACTGGTGGCACCAAGCCTATGCCAGGTGGGAAAGACACAAAAACCACCTGAGAGTCTTTTGGGGATAATGCCTTCTACTCTTTCTGTGGTCATGCAGCTGTGAAAACCATAGGCTCTTCCCCTCCACGAGAGGACTCTGGCTAGGGAAACAAGGGAGAGAGAGAGAGAGAATCAAGCATGTCCTTCATGGGTTGCATAGGGTGGGTTTCATTTGCAGAGGGAGCACTAGTTTCCAGATCTGGGAATGGTGTAGCACATTTCTAGAATGTGCTACACACTCCCTCATCTACATTTTCTTTGAATCTGGGTTAGTCTAAAGCTAATTCAATGGCCTGTCAGATATGTAACTGAAATGGAAAGAATAAGGGCCGAGGATATAGGTCAACGGCACATCACCTGCCTGGCAAGTGCGAGATCCCGAGTTCAATTCCCATACCCACCCCTACCCTGAAAAAAGGAAAGGAAAGGTAGAAGGAAAACAGAAAAGGATCAAGCTCCTTTGAAGAAACCTAGACCTTCCTCTTGTTCTTTTGAGATCAGTCACAGGAGACTCAGAACACAGTATGCCCAGTCCAGAACATGAAGAGGCGCTCCCTGGGCCTGTTTTCTTAGCTTTATACTATCATTTTAGAAGAGGCTGGCAGGGGTCCAGAAGACAAAGTTTTTTACTTTGGTTTCTTTGGATCTCCGGTGATTAATAAAACTTTAGACTGTCTCAAAGTATACAGATTTTTCATAAGTTTTTGCTGTGAGTTGATTGCTTTTTAACATTTTTGGTACAAAGCTTTGAACTTTTTGCTTTATGTTTGAGAACTCTCTTATGTAATCTGTACTTCTATTTTCCTTGTATTAGGGAGTTCAGAATTACTGTAAAGTTAATTTCAGTATTATATACTCACTGTTGCAATGTTTCAAAGCCTTGTTCTTTATAGAGCAGTTCTTGTTTCATCTGTGAAAGCTCTCTCTTCAGCTTTTTAACCTTTTATGAGAAATCAACATAAATATTGTTCATAAATAATTAGCAACATAGTGTATTATTTTAAAGGATAATAAATTATTAAATACATAAAGCCATTATTTTAAGTAACTTTCACTTTACCAGTTTCTTTACATAAATTTTATAGAAGGTCTATTCACTCTATCTAGCTTTTTTCACTCAAATCCCTAAGACATTATTAACATAGTTCTTTATTCTTTTTCCAAACAAGTAAACTTCTCCTCCCAAGTTTTTAAATTCCCCATACTTGTGTCCTTTACAGTCATTCCTATCTTCTCTAGTATTAATTCTCAATTTTCTCATCCTAAACTGTGGCTCTTTCATATTTTACCTAGCTTATTATCTTTCCTAACAGCAAGTTCTGACAATCACATGGCTTTCCTCAATCACAAAGTGAACCTCCTTTCTCCCATATGTTGCCCTTGTTCACACAAAATATCTTCTGAAAACTCTCATTACTAACTCTTCAACTCAACTAAAAGTACCCCAATAAAATCAGACACCATATCAACCTTTTCTTCTCATCTACCACTATTCTCCCCTGCAAGCCTCCCCAGTAGTGTTTAACATTCCTCATTCAACCACATCCCATTCTTTCCACCCACTCACCTACCTCACTGCAAAACAACCACAAATAATAAACTGTCATAGTGTGCACAGAGGATAGTCAAAGGGGGTATGTGTAACTGCGAGGACTCTCATGTAGAGGTGCTGTGAGATTGAATCTATGGATGCTGCTATCATCAAATATAATTCAGCAAAATACAGGGACAGTCTAAATCACAAAGTAAATAACAAAGAGTAACTACTAGCAATGGACATACAAAGCTGACAACTATTCATAGGGAAGCAACATCCTACTGAACATCTTCATTTAATTCTACAACCTGCAGTAATCCCCCAAAAAAGGATAGAAAAAGAGGGAGCACATATATATGAAAGATCTGTCATCTATCTATATCTATACATATACATTCATGTACCCACACAAATACACATAGGCGAATGGGAAAGCAAGAAAAAAGAATATCTCCAAGCCAAGCCCCAACTCTCTCTTCCAAGACACACAAGAGATCACAAAGGGAGAAGAAAACAACAATCAGGTAGCAGAAATCTATGTAAAGTTTACAGAAGGGATGAAGAAAATAGTAAGTTCAAAGAGGAAATAAACCAGAAGTTCATAGCAATTTCATCCAATATGCCCACAGTAAATTTCGGGGAAACAGGTAAAAACTGGACAAGCTCACTAAAACAGCTCAAAATCTGAATGAGAGATTCAACAAGGATAAGGAATCCTTGGAAAGATGTCAGACAGATATATGTGGAACTGTACAGAATTCACACACTGCAGAAATGACCAACGTGAAGACAGTATCTGATATTAATAGCAAAATAGTAAACTATGATAAAGAGTTCAATGAAGCCAAAAAGAAATAGAGAACAAGAGGAGACTGTCCTGTAGCTACTAGATAACAAGAAGCCCAATCCAAGCCTAGTTAGAAAAAAACCAGAAGACAGCATAGATGTACTCACTACCAAAATCATAAAAGAAAATTTTCACAACATAAGAAAAGAATTTAAAATATAAGTAAGTGATGCTTATAGAATACCAAATATAATGAAAAAGGAAACTCATAAGGCATATTTATTATCAGATATCTAGCAAAACTAACAAACCTGGAGTTTTAAAAGCAGCCAAAGAAATACAAACAAAAATAAAAACAAAATAACATATGAAGGTAAACCAGGGGAGGGGGATATAGCCCAGTGGGAAAATGCCTGCCTAGCAAGTGCAAGGTCATGAATTTTATCCCTATACCATTAAAAAAAAAAAGTAAACCAGTTAGAATCACAGCAGACTTCTCAAAACAAATCCTAAAGGCCAGAAGAGCTTGTAATGAAGTATTTCAACCCCTAGGAGCAAATAACCTGTAACCCAGATTAATTTACCCAGCAAAGCTATCCTTCAAAATTGATGAAGAAATAAGGTATTTCTATGAAAAAGCTAAAAAGATAGATAAATACTATACCAGCTCTAGAGAAAAATAAGAGTTTTCTCAACAGAAATAACCAATAGGACAAAGCTAAAAATACAGAGGAAACTAGTGAGGTCAATGGATAGACAGCAATAAAAAAATCAGGAAAAGAAAAACAAAGGATACACCAACACATAAAAAAGGCAATGATAGTAAATATTCAACGTATCTCAGAAATATCTCTCAGTGTTAAAGGCCTTGACTCTCCAATTAATAGACAGACTGGAGAACCAGACCCAAATCTCTCTCTTAGCCCCATTCGCAGACTGCAGAGGGAGAGAATGAGGCCCTAGGGAGGAGGGAAGAGGAGCCCACCCCGATACCAGTGCCATGCGCGGCCTGCTGCCAACTTGGGGAAGGCCAGACTCAAGCCTTTCTCTATGAATCAGTGCCACTCGTGGACTGCAGAGGAAGAAAACCAGGCCACAAAGAAGGAGATCCTTGCCCATAAACCATATCATTTTCATTGTTCTTTTGGGAGGTTAGGGTTTTACTTTCTTTTGTTTTGTTTATGTTAACTCTGATGGCATGAGCAGCTATATAAAAGACAGCAAGATATATTATGGAAGCCATTATGTATTTACTACTGGCTTATTTTAATGTCCTTTATTGCATTCATTATTTTGTGTTTGTTATTTCTATTCTATTGCATTCTGTTCGATTTGTAATACATCTGAAAGTGCTATCTGCAGCTATTTTAAAGACAACAAAGGCATTGTGGTAAGTATTGTTGATTTCATAAGGTTTGGAAGTCCTGTATCACTTATTCTGGTTTATTTTGATTTATTTTATTGTTTTATTTTCCTTGGCTTTTTCCTCTTTTTAAAAAAAAGACACAGACTGGACCAAAAAACTGAATCCAACAATCTGTTGCAATCAAGAAATCAATCTAATCTAAGCAGATATTCATAGACTAACAATTAAAGTATGGAAAACAATATTTCATGCACCAGGACCCTGAAAACAAGCAGAGGTAGCAATTCTAACATTGAATGTGATAAAAACTTCAACCTAAAACTGACTAGAAAAGACAAAGAAGTTCACTACACACTAGGTAGAGAAACAATCCAATGAGAAAACATGGATAAACATATGTTCCAAACACTGGAGCATCTATCTTTATAAAACTAAAGCTTTTATAATTAACAGATCAAATAAACACTAACACATCATAGTAGGGGATTTTAACACCTCACTTTTGGCAGCAAAGAGACAGATCAATTGAACAAAAAAGAAATTTCAGAGCTAATCCATACCCCTGAACATATTAATTTATATATACGAGTATTCTCTTAACAGGAAATGCCCTTATCAGGAAAACAGAACAAGCTCAAATAGAGGGTCTTATGAGAAATGTTAAGACACTTGAGAAACAACAATAAACTAGCCCCAAACCAAAGTAAGGAGGGAAATTATAAATATGAGAATAGACACCAATGAAATTTAGATCAATAAAAAGCAGTAAAAAAAAAAAATCAATGTATCGAAGAATTGCTTCTCTGAAAGAATAAGTAAAACAGATAAGCTCCTAGTCAGATTTGCCAAGAGAGAAAAGACTCACATCAATGCAATTATAAACGAAAAAGGTAAAATCCCAACATTATCAAAATCCAGAAGACAGTAACTACTCCAAAGAATTATACTGCAACAAATTAGTAAATTTTGAAGAAAAGTACAGATTCCTAGATACAAGCTAATAAAACTAACCCTAGAAGACATAAATATGCTTACTAAACCAATAATAAGAAATGAAATTGATACAACTACAAATTTTAAAAAGCCCAGGACCTGATGGATTCACTGCTGAATTCTACAAAAACCTTTAAGGATGTTATATCATGAATACTCCTGAAGTTCTTCTAACAGACTGAAAGGGAGGGAGTACTCCAAAACTTATTTATAAAAGCTAGTATCACATTGACCTGCTAAACTGGATAAAGACCTACCTCAAAAAGAAAACTATCAGCCAGTCTCCTTCATGAACTTAGATTTAAAATTCCTCAACATCATATTAGCTAATAGAATGCAGCACATTATCAAAAAGACTATACATTATGATAAAGAAGATTTCATCCCAGAAATTTGTTCAACATATGTGAAGTCAATAGATGCAATACATCACATAAATAGAAGCAAGGCCAAAAATCATGTGAATATAGCAAGAGATGCAAAAAAGGCTTTCAATAAAATCCAACACTACTTCGTGATAAAAAGCAAGAAAACAAGTATGGAATGACTATGCCTGAATATGATAAAAGCTCTTATGACAAACCAATAGCCAACATTGTATTAAATGGGGAAAAACTAAAAGTATTTTCCCTAAAATCAGAAACAACACAAGGAGGTCCACTATCACATCTTCTACTCAACATAGTCTTAAACATTAGCCAGAGCAACTAGGCAAGAGAAAACAATAAAAGGGATACATATAGAAAAGGAAGAACTCAAATTATTACTATTACTAATAGTAATAATGACATGATACTGTACATAGAAGATTTAAAGAACTTCACAAAACAACCTCTTAAAATTAATAATAACTTCAACAATGTAGCAGGATTCAAGATCAATACAAAGCTGGGGGTAGTGATTAACACCTGTAATCCCAGACTCGGGAGTTTGAGGCAAGAGTACTGTGTGAGTTTGAGGCTAGCCTGAGCTATACAGAGAAGAGCCTGTCTCAAAAAAAAAAAAAAAAGTCAACAAACAAAAATCATTAGCATTTGTATACACCATCAAGGAACAGAACAAGAAGGAAATTATGAAAATAATACCATTCACAGTAGCTTTGAGAAAAACAAAGTATCTAGGAATTAACCCAACCAAGTAAGTAAAAGTCCTTTTACTATAGAAAGAAAACTATAGTACTCTGAAAAAGGCGACTGAAGAGGACATCAGAAAATGGAAAGATGTTCCCTGCTCCTGGATAGGCAGAATCAATGTTGT